GAAAACTAATTCATATCCCCTGGTTCTTAATATAGAATTATAAATAGCATCACTAATGGCAATGTAATAGCACAGTAATTAGTATTAAGCTCCATTTGCTACACTTAAACTTTTGTTATATATTATTACATAATATAATGTTAATTCCATTCCAACAAAATGGAATGACCCTATTGAGTGAACTTAAGACAAAGGAGGCCTTTTGGGATTTTGGTCACTTCAGCAATTTACAAAGTTTTCATTATATAATATATTGAATATACATAATGCCTAAAGTGTCAGTGATTTGACAGGGTCGGTTGAAAACATTAGGGGAAATTTAAAAAAAAAAAGCAGTGAATAAAATCCAAAAGAAACCCCGTTGAACCATGAGTGTGTGTGTAAATGCATGTGTGTGAGTGTGTATGTTTGTGTAAAGTTTATGTACTTTGTGTGATTGTATTTTGTTGGCAACTCAAATATCTCTTTTAATTTTGTTTGACTTGCCAGGACCAGCAGACCTGGATACAAAGAACCCAGAAAATAAAATTGATGAAACAGGTAAATGTGTCTTCTTGACCAATTTTTAAAATAGTTTTCTATGGATTTCATTATATTTATAGAGAAACTTTCTATCACAATCCAATCTAAGCTGCTCCAAAATCTTGAGGAGCCTCTGTGACAGTCTGGCTTGTGTAAGTGGTTGAGCTGTGGGGAAGGATATCAGCCATGGCCTTTCCTCTCTGAGCTGGAAGAGGACTTAGAGAACCAGTCTCATTTGATAACAATGGAAATAGAAAACTAGTGAGGACTGTGATATACCCAAAACCTACAGTGATCTTCATACTGTAATTTGAAACCAACCCAAATACTTGGGCCTGGTTGATATCCAGATATGATCTTTAAAGGGCTGGAGCCCAGTGTCTGCAGCAATCTGTTGAGTTTGGTCCATATGTTCCCATCCTTATCTACTGAAACCCTAGTTTTGTGACGATGAGGGTAAGGATTTATTGAGGAGCTAGAATGCCCCAAGCACTTTACTTATTGCATAGATTATCTCTTTACTCCTCACAGCTACCCTCTTCCTCTGAGGTATATTTATCCCATTTTTCAGATGAGGAGACTGAAATTCAGGGCAGTGACCTGCCTTAAGTAGCATTGCTATTTAGGTGGTAGCCTCTGACTTGAGATTGATTAACTTGAAAATGTGTTTTCTTTGAACACTGGTTGGTGATCCAATTTAAGACATTTGATCAGAGTTAGGCCTTGCCTGGTGTTATTTTATTTCTATAAGCTTCTACACCTCAGCCAGCAGTTGTGAGTCATTGAACACTTGTCCCAGGCCTCCCCATCTGCATCTGCATCTGTTGCTATTAGCAATGTAGTCCTACCATAGCCAGACTTGAACTTGACCAAGATACATGGCTCATTTAGCTTAGCTACATCTCCTGTTCTGAGATGTAAACATTTCTAAAGGTTGTTTCAAACCAATGTTTTGCCATGGGATGTTTTCCCCTGTTTAGGGACTTGCATCTCACATGTTTAGTTTTCTTTGATTGGGATCTTTGTTGATCCAAACACCACTAAGTAAACACCCTGCATGTTGCACATTAACATTTTAGTCTCATTTCTAGTACCAGGTAATTAGGCTCAAAGTTCCCATGTTCATAGTCTCTCATGTTTTGCTTTAGAGAAAACATTTCTCCAGGGACTGAACTGCAGGGCAGTATGACTTTCTCTAGGGAAATCCCCAGGGCTGCAAAGATGCTGATTATTAAACAGTTTCTATTTAGCACAGCACAGACACAGTCTCTAGATAAGAGCCATGGCCCGTTTCTTTTTTTAAAATAAATCTTTATTGTTCAGATTATTACAGTTGTTCCTCTTTTTTCCCCTCTTAGCTCCCCTCCACCCGGTTCCCACCCCACCTTCTGCCCTTACCCCCCCCACTGTCCTCCTCCATAGGTGTACAATTTTTGTCCAGTCTCTTCCTGCACCCGCCATGCCCCTTTCCCCCTGAGAATTGTCAGTCCACACCCTTTCTATGCCCCTGATTCTATTATATTTACCAGTTTATTCTGTTCATCAGATTTTTTATTCACTCGATTTTTAGATACACTTGTTGATATGTATTTGTTGTTCATAATTTTTATCTTTACCTTTTTCTTCTTCTTCCTCTTCTTAAAGAATACCTTTCAGCATTTCATATAATACTGGTTTGGTGGTGATGAACTCCTTTAGCTTTTTCTTATCTGTGAAGCTCTTTATCTGACCTTCAATTCTGAATGATAGCTTTGCTGGGTAAAGTAATCTTGGTTGTAGGTTCTTGCTATTCATCACTTTGAATATTTCTTGCCACTCCCTTCTGGCCTGCAAAGTTTCTGTTGAGAAATCAGCTGACAGTCGTATGGGTACTCCCTTATAGGTAACTGACTTTTTTTCTCTTGCTGCTTTTAAGATTCTCTCTTTGTCTTTTGCTCTTGGCATTTTAATTATGATGTGTCTTGGTGTGGTCCTCTTTGGATTCCTTTTGTTTGGGGTTCTCTGCACTTCCTGGACCTGTAAGTCTATTTCTTTCACCAGGTAGGGGAAGTTTTCTGTCATTATTTCTTCAAATAGGTTTTCAATATCTTGCCCTCTCTCTTCTTCTGGTACCCCTATAATTCTGATGTTGGTACGCTTGAAGTTGTCCCAGAGGCTCCTTACACTATCTTCGTATTTTTGGATTCTTTTTTCATTTTGCTTTTCCGGTTGGGTGTTTTTTGCTTCTTCGTATTTCAAATCTTTGACTTGATTCTTGCGATCCTCTGGTCTGCTGTTGGGAGTCTGTATAATATTCTTTATTTCAGTCAGTGTATGCTTAATTTCTAGTTGGTCCTTTATCACAACATCGAGGGTCTCACTAGATTTCTTAAGGATCTCAATACATTTATCGGCGGTTTCCATAAAATTCTTGAAAAATCTTAGAACCGTGGTTTTGAACTCTATATCCAGTCGTTTGCTGTCCTCCATTTCTGTCATTTGTGACCTGTTTCTTTGTCTTCGCATTTTGTCTGCTTCCCTGTGTTGGTAGAGTGGTTTTGTGTGCTAGGTGTCCTACAGGGCCCAGTGGCTCAGCCTCCCCAGTTACCTGAGGTGGACACTCTTGGTGCACCCCCTTGTGGGCTTTGTGCACAGTCTTGTTGTAGTTATGCCTTGATTGTTTTAGGTGTCACTGGGAGGAATTGACCTCCAGGCCAATTGGCAGTGAGAATCAGCTGTGTCTGCAGTGGGAGAACTTCTGTGCTGAAGACACCCTTCTGGGGCAAGACTTGCTTCAGTGGGGCTTTGGTGCTCACTGAGTCTGCCCCCTGAGTGTGTTCCTTATGAATCTGAGGAGTTGTAATCTGGGTGGTCCCACTCTGACCACTGGGTACACTGGCTCTTGGATCTAAGGAGGTGCTAATTAAGCCTCTTCCTGAGGTTACCCAGCAGGAGCTATGAAGAGATATGCAGATTCCCCTTCCTTTTTTGGGGGTTTGGGGGTGCCCAGATGAGGCCCAGCTGAGAAGCAATGCAAGCTGCTGTGGGGCCTTGGGCCTTCTCTTGGAAGTTCTGGGTCTGTCTGGCCCAGCTGCAATTTGTTAGGTAGTTGTCAGATTGTAAAGGACCCGGGCATTCATATGCAAAAGGCTTTGCAGCAGCCTGGATGGGGCGGGGTCTCAGAATCAACAGGGCGGAGCAAGCAGCTATGGCTGATTCCCCAGCCTTCCTGTGGTTCTGGATGATGTCCATTTTGTCTTTTAGTTGTAATTTTGAAGTGGTTGTGCGAGGCAGCAATTTCAGGTGTTTACCTATGCCACCATCTTGGTTTCTCCACCCATGGCCCATTTTTAATTTCAACAGCAAGCATTCCCTTGTTCTGAACGATCTCTTTTTCTTAAGAGAAGTCACTGTAGACTTGGGAGAAAGTTGTCTGAAGTGAAGATCTTCATGTGGGAGAACAAACACTTGTGTAAACCGTTCCAGGCACTGGACACAGCACCCCCTGAAAGGGCAGATTGGGAGGTTTCCTGATTTCTGGGTGGGCATCAGGCAAATACACAGGGAAAGGTTAAATCTTCTGCCAGACAAATGTGTGACTCATTTGCAAAACTTAATGACTAATCTGGCCAAGGACTAAAATGACAGATTACAATCTAGCACAGATGGTGGGTTGCATGAAATCTGAATTAGATTATAACATAAACCCACTATTTACCCAGAATTGGTTGTTTCCATGTGCTAGGCTAGCTGACCGAGTCCCAGCTCCCTCGCCTTCCACACCTCCATTCCCAACAATGAGTCAAACACAAACCTGGCTGTTTCCCAGCATTGAGGGAGCCAAACCCCACTTCAGAGAGCTCCCACAGGCTCTGGGGAGAGCACAGGCAAAATAGGCATGTGATTTTCTCCTTTCTCTGTCCTTTTCTCTATTTTTCTGCCTACTTCCATCTGATACATTGGCAGGTCTCATAGATTTTTGTTTTCTTCCCTAGGGAGCACCCCAGGATACGAGGGCCTGGGAGAAGGTGATGAGAACATCTCCAAGAAGCCAGGCAATGTGCTGAAGACCTTGGACCCCATCCTAATCACCATCATAGCCATGAGCGCCCTGGGTGTCCTCCTGGGTGCTGTCTGTGGGGTCGTGCTGTACTGTGCTTGTTGGCATAATGGGATGTCAGAAAGAAACTTATCTGCCCTGGAGAACTATAACTTCGAACTTGTGGATGGTGTGAAGTTGAAAAAAGACAAACTGAACACACAGAGTACTTATTCAGAGGCATGAAGGCAGACAGATGAAAAGACAGTTGGAGAATTGAGGTGAAGGACATAACTTGAGTGTATTGATCTTTCACTGTACAGGCTGGGAAATGCGTCGATGACGCTGAGCCAGGCTTTTCTCAGGAGTTTCAATGAGTATGGCCGACAGACATGAACAAGTTAGCTGTATTAACAATCGGAATCATGTACAGTCAGCTTTTTTCTGTTGGTTTAATTTGAATAATCAAATGCTGGTGTTGAGACCAAGTATGATTGACTTAATGATTCATTTTGATTCCCCTTCCCCCTCTTTCCTCTTCTTTTTATGGATACTTTTCTGAAACTGTGCAAAATCCAAGATACTGGTGCCAAGTGTATTCCCTGGGGCCCTTTTGACGGACATGCTACCTGTAGCCCATGCCCACAGTATATTAGAATATCTGCATTTCAGTGGACTCCTGAAGCTGTACCTGTGTATAATCGCCCACATTGTGCATAGGCAAAGAAGGATTAGGGTTTTACTTTAAAGTACTGTAGCTTCAGTACCAGTATAGTATGTGAACTCTGTTTATGAAGCAATATCGTCAAATTTCCTTGATGTTTCCAGTGTTGTACTAAACCTCGTGCTTGTGAACTCCATACAGAAAACTGCCATCACCAGACACTACTGGCAACTGGGCGTGCTGCTGACAGCCACAAGGGAAATCCACGGCACTGGCTAGTCCATGTCCTCTCAAGTGCCTTTTTGTTTGTACTGGTTCACATTATGTTCTATTACGACCTGCTCTGTTCTTTGATGGTGAAAGCCCAACTTGAATCAAACCCTGGTGACCCACTGACTAAAAAGAAAGTATATTTTAGTGTAAGATGTCAGCCCTTTTCCCCCATTTCCACCCCCCATCCCCTCCCCCGGAAAGCAAGGGCTGGGAAGATTTGGCAACGTGGCTTAATTCTTCTGTTTTTTCTGCAGTTCAATTTTGTGTCTCTTGATCCTTTTGTATAAAGCTGCAATATTCTCTCCTATCGTTCTTTCATATGGAATGTATTTTCAAATGTAAACTCTTTCTCTCCTATCTCTCTGTCTTTTCTCTCTTAAATTTAAGCATTTGCCATTGTCCAGAAAAGAAACTTGCAGCTTTAACCTGCTGGTAATGGCAAAGAATTTTACTAGAATTTATGCTTAAAAAATAAGTAAGTAAATAAGTAAGTAAATAAATAAGGGAAATTCCTAACTCTGTCCTCCAAAGTCTAACTTTGGTTTTCTTGTTAACTGGTTAAAGTGACAGTATCTTTTTTCCTTAAGCCATTTGTCTATTCCAATCAAAATAATCTTTGATAGAAATGTTTGCATTTAATAGAAATAATGATGAATTGAGAGAAGAAATGATATTAATTGGTTTTCAAGTGAGACCCAAAGGAAGGACTGGATACAATTCTTCAAATATCCAAAACCATGAGGTTTTTACATCCAAATATGCAAAACTGATCCATGAAAACCTTCCTTTTTGGGTATTGGATAAGACAAGGAAAGTGAAGAAAGAACAGTTAATTTAAGAAAGCATCTAGAAATCCTGATACCTGGTGGTGAAGTATTTTCAGATAAGAAGGGGGATAAAAAATGAATAAAGTCAAAACAACTGTTTTTAAAAATCCCTTCAGCAGTAACCCAGAGAAAACAGAGGCTTGAATGAATGCTTTAAAAACTTTCAATTGCTCACAAAGAAAAAGCCTGCCTTGGGACTGGTAAGACCTAAGCTTCTAACAGCTCAAAGAAGCAAATATCTTATCAAGCAGCATATGAATTAATCCAAAGAAGCTTTGGTTGTTTTCACTCTATTTGTGGTCATGGCTCATTGTACATAGAACTTTGAGACCTTCCTCCCTTTCTGCATTGCTACAGGGCTCACTCAGAAATATTTGTGGGAATCACATTTGTATCATGGAGGAGACAGTCCATTCATCTTGGCTTAATTGGATTGAAAATGCATTTTGTTTCCAGGAAAGTATTGATCACTATGAAAGAAGAATAGATTTTTGTCCCCAGAGGCATTCATTCAGTTGTTTTAATCATACCAGGACAAAAGCACTAAGACTTAATTTTTTTTAAGGCAATGAATTTAAAGTTGTCCTCAGCCAAGGAAAAATGATACTGAGACTTTAAATTTTAAAGTATCTTGCACTGATAAATATATTTAAAAAATATATGTTTATAGAGTTATTAATTTGTAAAGTCAGTGTTACAAAATGTCCAGTTTATATTGTTTTAGGTTGTTTCGTAATTTTTAAAGGTGTAAAATAACATATTTTTTCTTTATTGAAATCTATAAAACCTCCTGTAGTAAAATGTTTTCATTTTACTGGTATATTACTGCTTCGTGTTTTGTACCATCATAAAATTTTGTGCAAGTTTTTTTTACAGAAATTTTTATTTTCTATGACAGTATGACACTTGTAAAAATTGTTGTTTCAAAATGAACAGCGAAGCCTTAACTTTAACTGACATTTGTATTCTCAGACACTGAGTAGTAAAAAACTGCATAGAACTGAAATGTAACAAATTCCAAACTATGACTACTACATTCCAAAGAAACAGTTGAATTAAACATTTTCATAAAATATCTCAAACCTGATGGCTTTTATTATATTAGCTTTGCTATTGATAAAGAAATTGGTATTATTCCAGCAACAAATAACTTTCAACGTGGTTTTTTCTAAGTTCTCTTTTAAAAATAATATCCTAATAAGGAAAAAAGATTAAGAAGATATTTCCTGAAGGTAGAATACCAATCCAACTTGGACACTTATCAAGATAATGAATAGTGAATTTAGCTTTATAAGTGGAAAATTTTCAACCCCAAATCTTGTGTCAAATGTCTATATTCCATTTGGCAAAGTACTTTTAAGTTTTTTTATAATGAAATTCACAAATACTTATTGGCAAGTGTTGATCTTGTAGAAAACAGCTAATAAATATGATGGTCTTTATGCATGCACCAAGCTAAATTTAGATGCTTTAGGGCAAAGTTGAGCATGGCATTACTACTGGCTATTTGGTAATTCTTTGGAAAAATTCTATTCCATCTGGGCACAAAATAATAGTAGTAATACTAATAATGGCAGCCAAAAAGTAAAATTATTGCTGAATAGGACCCTGTAGAAAACTTGTTACAATATTGGCTAACCCTAATCCTCATTATTCAGGGACAAATAATTATTTATTTATCTTCCTCTGGTTTAGGAAAACTTACTTCTGAGAGCATAGGAACTCCAGGAGGGATGGGCTGCTCTGCACCGCTCTTGCTAGTGAATCCACATTTCTGCTTTTTTCTGGATGTTTATACCTTTTACCCCTAACAACAATAGGGCATTTTCTCTATTGAATGGAATTTTAGATCTCTCTGCTTAGAGAAGAGTCAGAGATGGAACTTAAATTGTATTTATACTTATAGATGTTTCTCTAGAAAACATGATGACTTGCAAGGAATCTATCAGAATTCATCCAGACATACTTTTTGAAAAATGCTTATGGCCATCTATACTAATAAAAGGGTAATATGCTAATTATACCAGAGATCTTCTGGATGTCCTTCCAGACAAAGCCACAGTGGTGGGGGCTGAGGCAGAGGCAGTTAGGGGAGATCAGGTCAGCAGGGGAGAGCAGTTAGGGGCAATCAGACCACCAGGGGAGGGCAGTTAGGGGGTGATCAGGCTGGCAGGGGAGCAGTTAGGGGCATCAGGCCAGAAGGCAGAGTGGTTAGGGGCAATAAGGCAGGCAAGCAGGCAGGCAGGCAAGCGGTTAGGAGCCAGCAGTCCCGGATCGTGAGAGGGATGTCTGACTGCCGGTTTAGGTCCAATCCCCGTGGGTCCCGGATTGGAGAGGGTGCAGGCCGGGCTGAGGGACACTGCCCCCCTTGTGCATGAATTTCATGCACCAGGCCTCTAGTGTATTATTATATCTGTTTCATTGTTTGAGAAGACCTAAAATATAGAAGCTTTTCAACCCTTTCTTATCCCAAATTAATGGCTAAGCTAGGCTTTTCTTAGTGGGTTTAATGAGCTAAATCAATGTATAGTACTTCCCAAAATCAGGAATTAAATGTCATGAGAATTGAAGCATTTAACTTAAAACATGAAAATCATTTATTGTTCCATCTCCTGTTTCCCTGCTAACTTATTAATTGCCACTTGTGCTGAATTGAACTATATTTTTTTGCAAATCAAATGGATTTTGTAACACTCCATAATGTTTCCACTTCCAAATGGTAATTATAGCTGATGTATTGAATTAAAAAGCAGCTTTGCCAAGAATTAGCTCTATCTTCCTAAACTATGTCCACCAAGGGATCTTAAACAGCTTTTGCCTTGGAGGTTGAAAACATGAGTGAAGAGAGCCTCAAATTGAGTAGAACTGAACACCAAGAAACGTGAGACCAGGAGGATAACTGATTTTTACTTTTAATATTACAAAGAAACATTGCAAAGTGATACAGACTAGAACACCATGTTATCCCATGCATGTCAATTGTTTGTCAGCAATAAAGATCCTATGAACTTGATCCCATCATTTCAGAGAAAAACCTACTTCATGGAACTCTCCTATGGCAATTTCTTTAATTTGAGAACAGCTCTGCGGGGTAACTTTTGTAATTATCCCACTTTATCAATGAGCACTCCAAAGTTTAGAGAGGTTGAGTGAAGAGTTCAGGATGTATCTGGTCTCATGCCCCTCCAACCCTCCTATCATTCCACAGTCCTGCATTATCTTGTGAGATGCTTACATAGGGCCTTGCTAATCAAGAACCAGCAGCAGCAGCACCTGGATGCCTGTTAGAAATGTAGAGTCTTGGGCCAAACTGCAAATCTGCTGAGTAAGTTTAGCAATATCCCCAGGTGACCCTTATTCCCATCCATTCAGGTTTGAGAAGCACCTACACAGTCTGCAATTACACTGAACCAGTTGTGCGAGAGTTTGCCTTGCTTCCAATAGTGGTTAAGGGACACTCAGAGGCTGGAAAACATCCCTGCAGGTCTCATAAAGTAATTTTCAGAAGCGTCTGAACACAGTGCAGCCTGGAAAACAGAGTAAAATTAGTAAATTGGAAATCTCACTCAGAAGCACTTTGTGGCCATTCTTCCAGATCACTTGGGAGGGGCCTAAATGTGGGCTTTTCTGAGAAGAGATAGAGCTGAAGAAATATTTTCTCTGGATAAAAATTTTGAAAAGCTACAAAAGCACAGTAAATACTCTGTTACACATCATAGGGCAGTCAGGGGAAGAAGGGGAGGGCCAGTTTGTGAACAGATTAAAATCCTGATGGTAAAACTACACAAACCCTATTTAATCCTTCTTTTATGACCTCTAATCTTGTTCCTGAGGTTCCTTTTTACAAGTGAGTAACTGTCAGATTATGGAGCTTTATTGTCCAAGAGGACTCCTGGGGGGATTTTTTCTGTACAGAAAGATTGTCTCCACATCTGAATGGCATGGTACCTATTATGATGTAAGAGTTCAATAAATGTCTAACGTTCATAGTCAATACCTAATTTTATCACTGACCTGTTAATGGAATTAGAAAGTCACTTGCTCTGGCTGCATTAATGGGCATGCTGTCCGGGAAGGTGCAACTGAGTCTCGCCCATGTAAAGCTTGAATGGGATGACTTGTCAGGTCATGGTCCCTTGTGATGCTCCTTTCAATGATTCGGACATCTTCCCCTCTCCATCATTTTTGACAGAAGCTAATTCCACACTCTTCTTCAAATGGCCAACCTAGAATCTAATTATCTTGCAGAAATGTGGTGCTGGCCATGTTGATGCAACCCTGTTGGGAAGCTGTTTCTTGTTTATTGGAGCTATCATTTCTCTAATTTTGTCCAGCTTCTGAAAGTTTTCAATAATGGTGAAATTGCTCCTTGACTTTGAATATATGATCTAAAACAGAGTCAATTATCTTAGTAAGATCTCTTGCAATTCTTCTACTCTTATTCAAACCTTCCATCTAAAAGGACATTATATTTTGGAGTCTTAAAATAATTTTCTTGGCTCAATGCTTAATTTTATATGTACTTCAGTCACCTAAATTCCTATTAGTTGTAAGAGTAAATAGTCTTTCTGTCATCCCTTCAATTTAGTTTCACCTGTTTATTATTAAGTTTGGGTGGTTGCAGAGGTCCTGGGAGTGGCTCCAGTTAGGTCTTTTCCCTGTTCCCTAAGCAAACAGAGTTATGACATCAGATATGTGTGCTTCAACCAGTCAGACAGCACATTATTGAATCTACTCTACATAAACTTCTTAACACCTTAATGGATTTTCTGAAGGAGTTAAGAAACTGTGTACCATACTTTACTAGATGCTTCAATGAATCTTAAAACACCTTGTGACTTGAGGTTAAAAATAACTGAAGTTCAGAGAGGCTGAGAAATGAAACTAATATCACACAACAAGGTATTAAGTGGCATTGCCAAGATTCAAACACATATCTGTCTAATATATCCTAAATGCCACTCTGCACTGCCTCTTCAGTGTGAAAGAAAGTCTCCTTGTTACCAAATGTCTACTGTTATAAGAATGCTTTGAAATGCATGGTACTATGGTCTCTCTTTACACTTAGGCCAGATATTAGTCAGTGTAGGCTAGTCCTTGCTGTGGTAAGAAACAAACTCCCAACTATTAGTGGCTTATCACATATATTCAATTTACCCAAGCTTGACTGCAGGTTCAGTGGCTCTACAGGACAGCTCTATTCCAAGCAGTGAGTGAAGGATCAGGCTGTTTGCTTCTTGCTGCAATACCAACCACAATGTTTGGCTTCTAGTCTCTGAGCAAAAGATTAGACTCTTGATGCTGCAACCTAGGATTGACACATGGCCCTACCAAATTGTAAGGGCTCTGAGAAAAGTGGAGGAGCACATGCATATTCAATAAGCAGTGGGTATCTCTGCCACAACATGCAAGGGCAAAGCCGCACTCCTGCTGCTGAAGGTAGATGAGATTATTTACTGTATCTGCCACATAGGGATGTGACATGTCTCTTAGACTAGAAATCAATCATAACTTAGGGAGAGAAATAAGTTAGGGGGAGCAGTCAGTTGAATGAAATAAATGAGATGATATGGCTTCTGCCAAAAATGAGACTCTTGCATGTTGGATTGCTAGGAGGCATCCCCATGTAGACACAGGTCAGGAGAGAAGTGAGGAACCTGGGCTAAGCGGCTATGGAATGATATCAGCCCTTTACATCCAGAGAACAAAGATTTTAGGAGGCAGTATGTGAAAGGAGGCAGACTCTGTGAGTCCTGGGAATAAACCTTTATATTTCTCATATGTTCTCTGTATTTCTATTTGAATTTCCCTTAATATTTAGTCATTTAGAATGCAGCCATTTTAGAACTGTTTAGTAATTTTTAAATTCCTCAAGCATCTCAGCTATCCAAATGGGAGACAGCAGAAGGGTCTGTGTTCATATGTGGCTAAGAGAAAAGAAAAGAAGGCAAACATTACCCAGAGTCTTATCCATATCCACAGTTCCCATCTCCACTCCTTATTTTATTTTTTCCATAGAGTTTATCATTTTTTAGTATAGCATCTATTTTACTTATTGATTTTGTTATCCATCTACTCTAAT